GGATGCGGCAAAAGACTGCATTTTTAATCTTCCTGAAGCTTTCACCCAGTTCAATTTTTCAAAGATGCCAAGACTGCCCTGTCTAGTTTCTTTTGCAACCACTTCAGCCTGGTCTTAGAAGATAGTATATCAGTGCCATCGCTGAGCAGCTATTCAAAATCACGCCTCAGATAGTAGGAGATAGGAACTGTCAACAAAAGTGGATTGTGGGCCGAAGGTCTGGATTTATTTCATTTCTCTATTTTCCTTTGCAAGGGTGACTTCTCACAGTACTGGGTAGCTTTTAACAACAACAACAAGAAGTCATAGTGCCAGTTGTCAGACTTTCACATTATCAGCCTGATCCTATGGCTTCTTACATGCATGAAAGCATCAGGGTGCAAATCAGAGGTGGGGGGGGCTGTGGTCTCCTGAATATTCCTGGACTACAGTTTCCATCATCCGAGACCATTGGTTGTGTTAGTTTGGGGCTGGTGGGGGCTGGTGGGACTCCAGCAACATCTGGAGGGCCCCGCACTTCCTATCCTTGATGTAAATGAAGAGTCCAAGAGGACAGACTTTCCTTAACCTGACCACCAACTTGCCTTGGAGCATCTTGTTCAATCTGGCACTTAGGGCCATTGTCTGCCTGCAGAAACATGTTTGCTGGACTGTTTTGTCTATGCTGCTTGTCTCAGATCCCCACAGGGCCCTGACAAATTCTGACGTTGTGTTTAGATGAGTCACTTTGAGCCTTTCTCATGCAGTATGAAAGTGTTGGCTTTGCCGGACAGCATGCAGGACAGCGAAAGAATAGAAAAGTTGGCCTCTGTGTAATAATATTTTGCATTCACATTATAATCCAGTTAAAAGGAAAAAATGATTTAAATATCTCTTGGTTAAAGTGGGAAATGAGAGTTCTGAAGCCTGATGCCATTCATTCAAGGGGACTGTACTACCAAGGATCAAAGCCTTAAAAGGGACGGAAAAGCCAAACTTGATGTAGTTTGGCTAAAGATGGATAAAATGTAGAACTTGTTAACGCAAATTCATTATTTACTTAGGAAGTGTATTTAGTCTCCCCTTCAGGGATCACTGCCTTGTTGTGGCGAAGGGGCTTGCATAACTCCAAGAATCTATGAGCTATGCCGTGCAGGGCCACCCAAGATGGACAGGTCATAGCCGAGAGTTTAGACTAAATGTGATCCACCTGAAGAAGGAACTGGCAAACCACTCCAGTATTTTGCCAAGCAAACTCCATGGACATAAAAAAGGAGAAGCTTTGAGAAGTGAGAGTTTCCAAGGCATGCTCTGGTTCATGGGGTCATGGAGAGTCGAGCATGACTAAGACGACTAAACAACAACAATTCAGGCTAGAGACAGACTCAGGCTTAAGGGTCAGGACAGAACATGACATAGAAAAAGACTGAGGACAGGCCTTCTCGATCAGGACTACCACACAAGGGAAATTATGGAAGTTGTTGCAAGTCTTTGTAGAGCTTTCTTCTTATAGACTCCAAGGATCAAAACACCTCAAGGCTGGATATGTAAGAAAGTTCTAAGACTGCATTTCAAGGGAAACAAAACAAGAAACAGAATGAACTAAAGCAAGGCATCAAAGGTGAACAATTCTTTGCAAACATGTGAAATGAGAAGCTTGCTTCCCTTATCACATCTGTAAAACAGAGAAACCAGGGAACACCGGTTAGGTCAGCCAACCAGGAACAATGCTGTAGCCATCTGAGCAGTGCTCAGTTGAATTCCACAAAAGCAAGAGGAATCAGACCAGGCCACTTGAGAGCACTGGTGGAACAGAGAGAAGCAATGGGACATAGTTATCTCCGGATACAAATTCTATAGGAAAGACACAGAGTGGCGTACTGCAGGTGGTGTCATTCTGTACATCAAAGACAACATTGAGTTCAGCAAGCTAGGAATTGCAAGAGAGACAGCCCTCTCCATCCAATCATTGTGTCTGGTGATACTGGGCCCCAAGAGTAATCTAGTACTAGGGGCATGCGATTGTCCCCCTGATCAAAACACCCAGGAAGATATTGAGATGAAGAATGAAATTAAGGAAGAATCTAAAAGAGGAAATGTTACAATTATGAATTACTTCAACTACCCTCACATATGCTGGCAATGTCCCAGTCACAACGAAGAGGTAAAATTTCTAGGTACCCTAAATGACTGTGCCCTAAAATAGCTTTTCATGGAACCAACCAGAGTGGTGGTGACCCTGGACTTCATCTTGAGTGGGGCCCAGGACCAAGTGCAAAATAGAAGTGTTGAGCAAGTTAGGAGCATTGACTATAGTGTTGTTTAATTAAATATACAGGTGAATAGCCAGTTTCCAAGGAAATCCAAAGCAGTTACCTTCAATTTCAAAAGAGGAAATTTCCACAATATGAGATTGGTAAAAAGGAAGTTGAAAGGTAAATTTAAGAAGGTCAAATCACTGCAAAATGATTGGGAGTTATTTAAAAGCCTAATATTAGACGCTTGACTAGAGTGTATAACCCAGATCAGGAATGGAACAACAAGGACCAAGATGAAACCAGCACAGTTAACGAGCAAAGATGCTATTAGAAGCAAGAAAGCTTCGGGGGCGGGGGGAGAATGAAGTCTTCTCCAAGTGAACAGCACAATTTTGGAAAAAGCATTAGTGTGAGTAGACAGTAAGGAATGCTAAAAAAAGAATCTGAGGAACACATTGCTAAAAGCATTAAGACACACAAGAAGAGCGGGGAAAAGGAGGTTTATTGGTTTGTGGTTTTTGTTCTTGTTAATATTATGTATTTTGTGTTTTTAGATTGTATTTTTATGTTGTCAACTGCCCTCAGATCTGCAGATGAAGGGTGGTATACAAATTTAATAAGTAAACAAATACGCTCTTTAAAAACATTGGAAGCAGCAGACAGCTTAGGGAGGCAGTTGGATCTTAAGATGACCAGAGAGTCAAAGGTGTGCTAAAGGAGGATAAAGTGATTCCAGAGAAGCTGAACGAATCCTTTGTATCTGTATCACAACAGACAATATAGGGTAGATCCCAGTGCCCAACCTAACTTGCAGAAGGGGAGTCTGAGGAACTGCAGCAGATAGCAATGAAAAGTGATTAAGTTTTAGGCTGAATAAACTAAATAAAAACTGGCAAATCTGGATGACACCCACCTGACAGTTCTCAAAGAGCTCATATGTGAAGTTGCTGATCTTCTAACAAAATGTGTAACTTGTCCTTCCAATCAGCCTGCATACTTGAGGATTGGAAAGTAGCCAATGTAAAATCATTTTTAAAAATAAATAAATAAAAAGGAACCAGGAGAAATTTTGGAAATTACAGGCCTGTTAGTTCAATGCTTGTCCCTGGAAAGTGGGTGGAAAGTATTGCTAAAAATAACATAACCAAGCATACAGAAGAGTAAGCATTGCTGAAGTAGAGCCAGCATGGTTTCTGCAAGGACAAGTCCTGTCTCACAAACCTGTTAGAGTTCCCTGGGAGCGTCAACAAACATTTGGATAGAGGTGATCCAGCTGTCCTAGAGTACTTGGACTTTCAAAAAGGTACCTCACCAAAGGCTCCCAAAGAAGTCATGGATCAGAAGCAAGGTTCTCTTATGGACCAGGAATTAAGTAGCAGGAAATAGGAAGTAGAGAATAGAATAAATGGACAGTTTTCTGGATAAAGAGATGTAGAAAGTGGAGTCTACCAAGGATCAGTACTGGAATCTTGAACTTGTTCATGAACGAACTAGAGTTAGGGGTGAGCAGTGAGGTGGACATGTTTGCTTATGATACTAACTTGTTTAGGGTCATTAAAACAACAGATATGCAAAGTGGAAATCCCTGATCTACAGGTTCAGACATATGCATAATTAGAGCCATGAGCCCACTGTGGAAGTTCACTCAACCCAGTTAATGACTTTGGAGCAGCCAGCATCTATCAAACTAAGTTATCTCATAGGGTTGCTGTGAGGCTCAGAAAGGAGCGGGATAAAGCATACTGCCCTGAGATGGATAAAAATGTAATAATTTTCAATTTAAAAATACAAAAATGCTACAATATTATCCTACTAGTTCTCCTCCCCCATGTGTTCTATTATATCAAAACAAAGCCCTCTTTTTTTGGCCATGAATCAGCACCAGTCATAATACTTGTTTGGTTGTGCTGGACAGAAGGTTGTGCAAAGAAATGTGCAAATGAGATTGCCCATATTGTGGAATTTCAGTGAAACAGAAGAGAAGTGAAGCAGGAGAATCCCATTCTGTCAGCATCAATGTCCTGTATTAACTCTGGGGCTTATCACCTTCCTGCTACTGTCACGAAACCATCTTGCATATATTGTTCATCTGTTAAAAGTAAACCATTCCATTGCGTGTTGAAGCCTATCCCATGTGACTTAAATCTGAAGTCAAGGCCTGTGTTTTGTGTGCTGGCAAACTCTTCTGCCCTCAGTTTGCTTGCCAGAAAGCCTGGCCAATAAACATATATGAAAACCAATGACTTAGTTGTTTTTCCACTCTGGAGGAAGAAAGTTGTTAGAAAAATCAAGAACCTAGATAGAACATGAGTGACGGAAGAGTTTGGTTATAACAATGTTGAGTATAATAAATGAAAATATAAAGTGCATTTTATGTGATTAATGTATGTGAGCTGCCCTCTTCTGGTGTGTAATCATTAAATAAAGCCACACCTTATATAACTGTTAACATTTCCAGTCTATTAGTCAGCTTTGATAATGTGCATAAAATGCTCAGTATGAGAATGAGTTGGGGTTGCTGAGAATTTAAGATGGCGGCATGTTTGGTGTAGTATTTGGATTAGCATTGTGAGCCTGCATCTATGTAGCTTCTTTGAATAGCTTGTAAGCTTTAAGAATAATCTAGTTATGCCCTCTTTTTTTTAATAGGTTTTAGCTTTTTTAATAAAAATTAGCAAACAAGGTACCCTGCTCAAACAAATACTACCAGCATTAATTAATCAGGATGATCATATGTAAAAGAAATGATGCCAGATAGTAACAAATCCAAGAGAAGTTTATTATGAAAATGGCACCTGCAGGATGAAAAAAAATTAAGTTACATAAAGACAACCATGTATGACATGTATGAGAATCTACAAAAGTATAAAAAGAACCCTGTTGTAAATGAAGTATGTACATTTCTGATTTGCAGCATTATCAATGATCAATGAAAAAAGTGTTTCGAATAAGCCAGGCACTCAAGAAGTTAGATTCAGTTAGCTTAACACAAAATAAATGTACCATAGCTGTCATTTTTTAACATTTTAATTTTTTTTATATATTGTAGAGTTGGTAACACTGCTAAGATTTATACGAACAGAATCCCTTTCCCCTTTATTCAGCTACTTGGCACCAGTCTCCTCATAAAAGATTTCATATATTTGTACAAGAAATAGTTAAAAACACAGACACAGTCTTCACAGGTAATGAAGATTTTTTTTTCCATTTTGTAATTTTAAACACTATGGATTTAGACAGCAGCTGTGATTATCTGTTAGTTTAAATCACCAGAAATCATTTTGACACAACACAGAAACATTTATTCAAAAATAAAATTAAAACAACAACAGCTGTCTAGCTGTTCTTTGTAGCTGATAGGTGCACTCCTTTGATTGTTCAATAGCTAGAGTAGAGCTTCCAAGGGAAAGCCCAAATCAGCTTCCCTTGGCCTTGAAATCTACTTAAACATCCTTCAAATCTAACTCTTTAAAAGCCCATTATCAAAATTTGTGACATCCAAAATGCCCCTTTGGGACATTATTCCTTTCCACTCTCCCTCAGACCTGCCCCTCAGATTCTATAGCAACTGTACTAGAAATTGGTTCAACAACACGTATGTTATCCAAAATGTAGAGACCAGCTGAGTTAAAATTACATTAACATTGCACATATATGTAAATATATATATATATGTATATGACAATCCTAAGCTCAGGTTCCCTTTTTTAACAACGTCTGTTGACCTTTGCAAGAATTTTCTATCTCACTTGAAATTGCTCTCTGTATATTACTCCATCAACCTACCTGGGAGAAAACCAAAGAAATGCACCCTCTACTTACAGTTAGAGCACAAGGGACTCTGGAAATGTTAACAACTGAGGCTATATGGCATCACTTTGCTTAATATATCTAAGTATCACCCTTTAGTGCATTGTGCGATGCACACTGTAAGAGTAAGACATACCCAGAATTCCTCTGTGGGGGGGGGGAATGGCTCCATTAACCTTGAGCTAGTTAAGAGTCTTTTATCTCTGAGAATGGGAAAAGAGAAGAAGAGAAAGAGGAAGAAACAGGGGAGAAAAGGTGAAGGCGGGGAAGGAAGACAGAGAGAGAGAGAGAGAGAGGTCTGAGAATACACAACAGCAAAGCAACAGCAGAAATGAAAAGGTATACAGACAGTGGAAGCAGCATAAGGTGACATTACAGAGGAAGGCCACCACACAAAAACCACTAACCCCCAAGAATCACTGGTTCACTAGGACTGTAGGAATGGGACTTTAACCACTCCAGACTAGAGATAAAGCACAGAGAAGACAAAGGACAAAACAACTACATTAGCTTAGTATATACTGCATATAGTAACACACATTGAAACTGCAATGGGACTGACAGCCAAGGACACTTACACATTGTACACATTACAGTTCTCACATCTGTTATTAGATGCCTTAACAAACAGCTGCCAAAGATGGGCGTGGAAGAAGAATTTATACTTGACAGTCATTTGGAGTGTTTGACACTACATTGATTTCTGGCAACAAAGACAAAATAGGAGATTTCTTTTTCTTTTGTTTTTTTTATACTTAATGTGCAGTTTTTAGTTGCAGTTATCTATTTCAAGCTTATTAACCCATTCTTTAAAACATATTGGCTTCGACACTAGAAGGAGGGGGATTACAAAAGACAAATCAATGAGCAAAACTTAAAAATAAAATACAACCTTCCCTCTATAACATTAAATGAAAAAATAAAAAACATGTTAAATATATATATATATTTCCCCTCTTACTCTGAAGTGTTATTTGGGAGTTGTAAAATTAGCCTCAGTTACACTGAGAAAGAAATAAAATAAAGCAAAACAGTAAAAACCTATAAATAAAAAAAACAACCAAACACTGATCCTCACACCAGTTTTGAGTTTTCTTGTTCATTTAACATGCATTTACCAAAAAAAGAAAAGGCTTCCAGATCCATTTAAATTTAATATGAGGCTATGCTTGTTAGTTTGGAGGTAAAAAAATTAAGTCCTGCAGCAAATGTTAATGAGGGCTTTTGTCTTAACTAACCAAGGAGACTGCAGCACCTGACTATAGACTAGTACAGAAGACATTCCTTTCAAAAAACCCAGCCCACAAGCTGCGTATTGTGTGAAGACATTACAGATTAATAAATGATAGCACCATGGTTTTAGAAATGAAGTTAACGTTTCTGTAATTAACATTTAGTCCATCTTAATATTCTAATCACAGGCCAGAAATTAACTTTTTTAAGAACCCAAATTATTGTATGTGCAAGTAAGAAAATCTTAACCATAAAAAGTGAATTAAACTCTGCATAAAATTCTAAAATACTATCCCCTATTTTTTTTTAAAGGAATTAGGAACCAAAAAAACCCCTTTTCATTTGACTTAGTCAAACAGGGCACATTTTTTTATGCTTGTTTCTTTTAATCTTGATCACATCAAGATCATGTTGAAGTAAACCCAATGGTTGTCACTTTAAAATCTCTTTACCACATCACTGAGTATTCTATGGCAGAGGCAATACACATATTAAAGGCATCTTAATAAAGATGCAAAGGAAGAAAAAAAATACACATCTCGGAAGAAGACAAAATGGCAGGCAACTGGTACTTCAGCTCTCTGAAGGCAAAAATAAAAAAATATCTTTTACATGAAAGAATAAGTCAAGTTAAAGAGAAAGGGGGGGGTGAAATGGGGACCATCATATTGAGAGAATAAGCTGACCTGCTCAAATTCAAAGTGCTAGAATTAAAGGTCTAAATTAAAATATAGTCTATGCCTCAGAGTTTAACACTGAACACAGTATGTGGTCATATTTCAATCCTCCTTCCGCTCCAGTGTCTGTGTGGCATGAATGCCGTTGCTGTACACAGGAAACGGAAGAGTGGAGAAAAGTCCTTCGGCAGTTGTGAACACATTCCCTGCAGGCATTTGGGTCAGACTGGCCGCGCTCACAGCACTTCCAAACGGTCCTGACATATTGAGTCGGTGAACGTGGTGGTAGAGCATTTCCATCGGTGTTTTAGGATCCAGGCCAAAGCTGGGGCTGTTAACGTCCACAAAGTTAACAGCGTGGGTGTTGGGGAGGAGATTGCCCTGCATGGCTAAAGTAACTTCAGCTGGAGCATACCGAATAGTGCCAGTGGTATAGACCCTCTGAGCAGCCGTGCTGGTGGCGGCAAGGGTTCCAGTTACCCTGTGAACCAAAGGAAGCACCACATTGCCTGCTTGCAACCTCTGGAGGGCTTCCAGGTCCCCAGTGTACAACAAAGAGTTGGAAGTGCTGGGGCCTCCAGGATGCTTGTCCCGTGGAGAGGCGGACAGAGGTGGTGACAAAGGGTCAGAGGATACGGGAGCCAAGGCGGAAGTGGATGAGGTGCTGAACTGAGATTTGCGGCTGGCAGTATTTTCAGTTCCTGGCGGGGTGAGGACAGAGTCTGGAATGGAGACATGTAAACTACTGCTGGCTTGGGGGGAAGGGAAGTGCTCTGAGTTGGGGGGCTTGGTCATACTGTAGGGAGATTCGTTCCTTGAGATTTCCCTGTTGGGCGGGTAATTCCAAATGCTGCTATCGTTATCAAAATTGATAGGTTCCGAGATCTCCGTTTTGATTTTGAGCACTGAGGCACTGTTTGGCGATGAGAGCAGCTGGGGCTGGTCCACCAATGCGGAGTCAAGTCCGTTGGGGCTTGAGGTGCTAGACAGCCTTCTGCGGGTCATGCTGCCTCCTTTCTGCTTTTTCCTCCTCTTCTTCCTCTTTTGATGTTTGCTGGAAGACTGGGCATTGACTTCTCCTGCGCTGTCCGAGTCCTTGGCACTGTCTGAGGTCAACGATTCACAGTTCTGCAACCGCAAGTCCGATTCGCTCTCCACGTAGCGTTCCACCTTAATCTGCATAGAACCAAGAGTGCCAAAACTATCCTCCGGGGCCTTTTGATTCTCAAAGTCAGAATTTTCAAAGCTGTCATCGCTGTCTCTGCTGTCCTGGTTGCTGGAGCTGTTGCCATCATCGTTACAGTTCATTTCATTATCTGACTGGTTCCCAGACTTCTTCCTATCTGACTCGGGGTCTTCGCTGTTTTCCGACTGGTTTCCTTTTTCATCCGACTTTGAATTCTCATTGTCCTCTGAAGAATGGAAAGAAAAGCACAGAAACACCATTAAGAACAAGAAGGCAAGATTTAAAGCCCACTTAGAGGACTAGTTGCCAGTGAGATATTATTACCGGTAATTTCTCTGGCAACAGCATCTGGCACAATGCATTTCCTTTCATGTGTGAAACCACAGCAAGTATCAAGCTGAGAGGGATTTGGCTGCCCTTCATCTCCCTCCGGACTGTGAGTGGAAGTGGGGTACCTTTATGTCACATAGACGAAACGAGAACATACTTCAAATGGCACAGTGTCCATAGATCACATATGTAAAATTCGGTGATACTTTGTTGTGACTGAGAGAGGACAAGGCTATGCAGATAGTGGCAAGAGCAGAAGTTTCTCCAGGCCTATTTTTGACTCTTGGAAATCGGGCTTCTCCTCTCTGAGGGGCAGTGGTAGCTCTGTGGGATGGAAGCATTTACTTTAGGCTGGGCTGGAGCTTCCAATCCCTCCTGCCTGCCACTACTGCACAAAGGTGAAAGTTACTTCTGTTGCTCTGCTCACTTTATTCTCTGGCCCTGGCCACCACTGGAATGTGGCCCATGCAGGGGCGCCATTTCCACAGTGTGGAGGCTTTTATAGCCCCCTAGTGCTTGGTGGGAAGGGTCCCCCCTCCCCCAAATCTTGAGGAGGCCTGACAGGAAGTCACTCCCGACCCTGCACAGCCTGGCTGCACTGTGTTGGAAGAGGAGCATGGCCTGACGTCACATGCAATGTACAATCCGAGTGACGTCACACGTCAGCCCCCCCCCCCCCAGTGCTGGGTGTAATTCAGCACCTGGGGGCCCCTGGAAGATTGCCCAGAAGAGAATGCGGCTCCCAGACTGAAACAGGTTCCTGTCTTCCTGTCCTTGCTTTATAGTGTGTGTGTGTGTGTGTGTGTGTGTGTGTAATATGTTCTTTTCCCTTTCCTTCCCCCTGAAACATAGTGCAGGAAGGGGGGGTTAACTTCATGGCATGTGTGGCCCTTAGCCCCAGTCTTTTCTTCCAGGATGCTGACTACAAGCTGCTAAGTGCTAGAGCATGGGTAGGCAACCTAAGGCCCAGGGGCCGGATGTGGCCCAATCGCCTTCTCAATCTGGCCCATGGACGGTCCAGGAATCAGTGTGTTTTTACATGAGTAGAATGTGTCCTTTTGTTTAAAATGCATCTCTGGGTTATTTGTGGGGCCTATCTGGTGTTTTTACATCAGTAGAATGTGCGCTTTTATTTAAAATGCATCTCTGGGTTATTTGTGGGGCATAGGAATTTGTTCCTATTTTTTTTCAAAATATAGTCTGACCCACCACATGGTCTGAGGGACGGTAGACCAGCCCACGGCTGAAAAAGGTTGCTGACCCCTGTGCTAGAGCAGGCCAGTTCCCTCTTCTGCCTAATTTCACCTCCGCTTTCCTTCTCCTCTCAGCTGACACCTCAGCATTCTCTACATCCTGGAAATTTGTTGGGCTTTATTGGGCTGTTTTGCCCAGGTGCTGTTCTTCACCTTGCTGCTATGCTCCAGACCTAGTGATGTTCCAGGGCACCGCAGGGTGGCAGGTCTGTGTGGAATTGTGACTGCCACCAAAAAACGACAGACAGCATTCAGCAAAATGATCCTTTGATATGAGGGGTGGGGGGTAGGGTGGTGTAGGGCACCTTAAATGTTAATTCTCAAAAATTTTCTTCCCTTAAAATTTCTTCTGAGAAGTTTCAGTTCAGCTCTAAACAAACCCAAATACCCCCAAACTCTACTGATATATAAAAAAGAAACAAATCAACACTGGAAGTTAAGAACTATAATTGTATTCCAAACCCTCAAACAAATAGGGTACTCTCTATTAAATACTTGCAGGCATATCTTGGACACTTTTTTATCCTGCCTAAACTTTCTTGATTAGCCAGGCATTTGAATGATTATTTTGAATTGTTTTTGTAGTGTTTTATCCTTTATTGGCCTTGTATGCATTGTGGTTCGTCTCACCATGTTATATGAGCTGGCAGTATATAAATGTTTTTTTATTAAATAAATAATGCTGGATGCATAGAAGTCATACAGATTGTGGATATTTCAAAGAAGCATGAGTACTCTGAATTTATATTTTTAGGATATATTTTGTTACCTTTCAAAAGTACCATTAGGCAGCGATGTAGCATGAGAACGGCAAGATCAACTGATAAGTCTGTGACTATAATTCCTAACTTTCCTTTTTTGACGCTGTGAAGTTAAAAAGCAAAACCAACTCCCCACCTCCCTGCCAGAGACTGTTTTAAGATGCAAGGCAACAAAAAAATCTGAATGCTTATCTTACCTGAGTTGTCCTTTGAATCTGATTCAGAATCGGAGGTCTCAGAGGACTCTGAGGTTTTCTCTGGCAGATGAGGGAGCTGTGCAATATCCATTGGAGTGTCCTTATATTCTTGGTTGCTAAAGAAGGAGAGATGGCAAATATAAACACAAATTTATGACTTGGAGCTTGATCGTCTCTGCTTTCCTCAAATCTCTGGGGCAAAACATGCAAATAAACAGCACAGCAAAGCAAACATGCAAACACATGTTATCTCCTTCCAGTTCTTCACAGCAGAAGTTTTATGGAAACTTCTTTTAAATGTTACCATCAATATTTCTACCCTGAATGTCTGCTACTGCTCAGGTATCAGTACCAGAACATTTGTGGTTAACCAAGCAGCCAGATTGTACTGACGTCTCTACAAAAACATTTTCTGTCATTCCCATCTTTGGAGTGCACAGTTTGTTACCCCCTTCAAATCTTTTTTGACATCTTACGATGGTTCCACCTCTACTTTTGCATAACTCTGGTAGAGATGTTTGCCTCTAGGTAAGGATGCCACCCACAGTAGCTGGGGCAACCCAGGGAGATGGGCAGCATATAAATACAGCAACAGCAACAGCAGCAAGAACAACAACATTGCTCTGAAGAATGTCAGTGGTTGATTATAACGTGTGAATCAGCTCAAAAACGGTACTGTTTAAAATTCAATGCCAGGGTAGCTGAAGACGGAATGAAGCATACAAAGAGAACCAACTAGGTTTATGTAGCATTAGAGCTTCCAATCACTTACAACCACTCCTAAAGCTTGCATTTGAAAGCCTCTGAAAGAGCTGGTGGTGGCCACAGATGGAGCCACTGATCTTTCATAGAAACAAATAAATCTGGATGTTGCTAGAAAGCAAAAGCAAGCCTGTATTTATGAACTTTTAACATTGGCTCATGCTGAGCATGTCTCCCACTCCTGCAATGATGCCACGAGTCAGCTCCGCTTAAGAAAAGCTTAAAGGGATTTCAGATGATGGGCAGCAGTACCGTGGTAGGGCACCCACTTCTGGTTATACACTTGGCTTTTCTTTCCTGTCTCCTCTAATCAACATGGCTGTTGCAGTCCCTTTCCCATCCATTGTTCCAGCAATGAAATAAACTAGCCTTCCTCCAAAGTGATTGAAAGGGGCAACAAATGACCTGTTTGTCACCCTCAACAATTCCACATGTCCCCCCCCCCCCGTGTATCTCTCTTTAAAACTCCATTCCTAAGGAGCCTTCTTGCAATCAGCAGGACTTTTGAAAACAAATGCTTAGAACTGGGGTGTTACTGTGCAAGCTACTTTACAAGTCTAATTCCATTAGTCCCACAACTCGACATCTGAATGGTCATTATTGTTCCCATCTTACAGATAACAGTACTGAGATTGGGAAGGGAAGACCCTGTGTAAAATGGAACTCTTTACATTCTTTGCCATCTACCAAGAACTCAGATCAGGCAGGTACTGCCAACTTTAGAATTCTCCTGGAACAGCATGCCCGGTGTTTTCCTATATACAATTTATAGGGCTTACAATCTTAGCATTTCACCCATACTCCCAGTGCTTCTGAACTCCAAAAATGCCTATAATAAGTAGGTCTTCTGAAGCTACAAGTGAACAAAAGTGACCTGACGGGGATATATGCTAAAAATATGTTAGGAAAATCATACCATAACAAGCTATTGTCCAGAATTCTATGACAGCCAACGATAGCATGCTAGCAAGGGCTGGCTGTGAATCAGGCTCTGTAATAAAGCCATTAGTAAGCAAAGCCAAGACGGGAATTTGAGAGATGTCCAGAATCGAGCAACCCTATGAACATCTTTCTATTACGATCAGTGGACACCGCTTCTGAACATTCACTTCCTTCTATTCTTTCTTTGACATTGCCCATTCAACATGACTCATGCAGTGACAACAAAAATGCAGATAACGGAACTGACAGAAAGCTATACCTCAGAAGGTAATTGACCCAGATGACGTTCTTCTCATTTGCATTCTTGGCATTGATCGCGATGGTGGCACTCGACTGTATCCAAATATACCCCCCATTCTTCTGCATCCAGCGGTAGTACTTCGTTACACACTGACCCTTGTTGAGCACTGGATTGAGGGAAACAAAAGGAGCAAAGAAATGCCGCTAGCATTGCACTTAAAGGAGAATCTTCCCCACAAAGGGAGCACAACACATATACAGGGAGAGGGGAGGCCTTTGTCCTGCTACATTCAATAAAAAACATTACAATGACAAATAAATCCAGCCATTTCCTAGAGACCTGACAGAGAAGCAAAGGTTCACCTCCATCCGTACTGCGATTTTAATCTGCTTTTGGCAGCTCACGTAAGTGAAGAGCAGCAAAAAGGAGTACAAATCTCCACGAACTCATTGAGCAAAGAATCCTGTGTGGACATTTCCGATGCACTCAACATCAAATTGTGTGTGTGTGTTTTAAAAAAAGTTAAATTTCTATGTGATTTATTCATAGCTCCTGGGTAAACCTCTTTGAGATTCTGGCTATTTGAAAGGTTTGGGAAGATACGGTACCCTAGTTCTTTGATCATTCCTCTTCATTGCAGGCGATATCAACTACTGAACTTACACATCTGTTTCTTTTGATCTTGTCAAACAGAATTTACAGTCCTCAGATGAACCAAATCTCCAATGGTCAGCAGGGGGAATGTCTGCCGAGACTTTGCTTAATACCAGAGCAAAAGAAATCCACCAAAGAGCTGTGGAAGGAACTGTGGCCTAAGGGAGTCGAAGAATTGAGCGTGTTAAAGCCAAAAGTCTCTGCACGGTGTCTGAAATTGGTCCAGAAACGGAAGGACAAGTGAAAACAATCACTGTGCTTGAAAATGCTTAAATATACGTACAGATGTTCAAATGTTCTTCAGACCAGCACCTTGCCAAGTGAAAACGGGCTATGTAGCTAGATACGTTTGTCTCCATGAAAGGGGAGAAAGCTATACATCACCCGCTGGAATGAAGTAGTGTGTGTTTGGCATGGATTTAAAGAACAAGTTTGCTGTTCTTAGGACTTCAGCTCGTATTTCTTCCTCTCGTCTGTATTTATTCTTAATCTGGCAAAGTCTTGCACGCTAGAGGGCAGTGTGCATTCACATACATCTCTGCTTTTGGCATGTCCTTGTCTCCGTCTGCTAAAATGAAAAACCTCTAACTGCTGTAATAAATTTGGCTAAATTAGCTGCTAAATGGTTATCTCAAGTAATATGTATTTGCATTAATCATCTTGCTCTAAACCAGAACAAGCCAGAGTCCTAAAGACGTAGTAAATTCATATTGTCCATTTAATTATGGCTAATAAGTGCTTCATATACAATAGTTTCATGAAGTACATTTTGATTTTTTTTTTGGGTGGGGGGGAGGGTAAGAAAAGACGAGTAAAAGAAGTCACTTTGAGTAGGAATTGTATTTAAACCTGTTAAACTTCAAACTCGGAACTGGGACTGCATCTTTAAAATTAGATGTACCTTCAAATCAAGAAAACGGTATCAAAACAACCTGTGTTTATCAGCACCAAAACCTGGGCATGTTCATGTGAGGCTAGGTTTGCATCAGCATCAAAATCTAGACAAGTGTGGAACTGCGGTTTTATTTTCATAGAGAAGAAGAGGAAGGCAAAGGGAATGAGGTTTTTCTATTTTTTATGCTCCCTTTTCACACAGGATCCCATGTTTCCCAGCTGGTTCTAGGAGCACCTCCCATTACACCCCCTCTGTTCAGGCTCTTTACCTCCAGCAAATGGGTTGTGGCTGTTACTTCTAGACTCAGCCCCCCACAAGCTGGTGTTTTAGCTGCCCGCTGCTAAAACCAGGAAGTACTTGGGTTCAAGCTAAGCTGCTGCAGTGGCAGCTGTCCAGTCCCTATTACTCTCCATCTCACTTGCAAAACTATAGCCAGGTCTTGTCTTAGGTTCAGGCATGATATACAGCAAGCAGTGTTCATCAGCTGAGTTCAAGGCACACAAGCAGCACTCCCAATAGCATTTGGGGGCTGAAACATCACTCCTTGCTCTGCAAATGAATAATTTTGTTTGTGACAGAGGAAGTCAGAAAATGAGGAAAATAATTAAGCAGAGACTAGGTGTTTCTTTTGTTGGATGGAGTTCCTATACCAATTTCAGCTTCAATGACAACAACCCCTTTGCAAGACTGTTTGCATTTCTTATTAAAAGCTAAAGGTTGCAATTCAGCTGGCTGAAGATCTTTGTCAAATCTCCAGGCATTTGCAGTCAGAAGTAAGCACTACTGAGCGCAATGGAACTTACTTCCAGGAAGCTACGTAAAGGATAGCATCCCGTCTGATCTTAACACATCAGGCGTTTTGCTATATACTGTTGGTCTTTGGTGTGTGTGTGTGTGTGTGTGCGCACACACACACACACACACACACAGACACACACAGTAATAGATCAAGACGCCTTCTTGCATGGCTATAGACACTGTCACGATGAGCCTCTGCACTTCCAAATTTAACACAACACCAGTTCTTTCCCAAAAACTCTTTAAGATGAAATGGAACCATCCCCATTGTAGCATGGGTTTTCAAGGGCCGATGACTTAAGTCCACCATAATTTGCTTCACCAGAGACTGTAAGTGGAGATGGGTATTATTATTATTATTATTATTATTAATTTATTATTATTAATTTTATACCACCTTTCACCTGAAGATCACAGGGCAGTTTATAAAAACACAAAAATACATAGCATAGTAACTAGCAAACCAATACCCTCCCCACACAGAGTTGAAAGGGCCATAGATGGATTAATTAGCCAAAAACCTGGAGAAGAGGAATGTTTTTGTCTGGCACTTAAAGACATGTAACAAAGGTGCCAGGCGAGCCTCCCTGGGGAGAGAATTCCACAAATGGGGAGCCACCACAGAAAATGCCCATTCTTGTGTTGCCACCCTCCATTTCTCTTGTAGCGGAGGCACATGAAGAGCAGCCTCAGATGATGATTGCAGGGTCCAGGCTGGTTCATATGGAGACAGGTGGTCCTTGAGGTATTGTGGTCTTGAGCCATTTAAGGCTTTATAGGTCAAAAAGAGCAGAGGCACAGTGCCTCGGTCTTATCTGGATTGAGTTTCAGTTTCGTTGCTCTCACCCAGTCCATTACTGAGGCAAGACAACAGCCCAGCACATCCACTGCCACATCTGCAGATGTAAAGGAGAAGTAGAGCTGTGTGGCACCAGCATATTGCTGGCAACATACTCCAAAACTCTGGATGATGCCACTCACTGGTTTCATGTCGATGTTGAGCATGGAGGATAAAACTGAACCCTGAGGAAGCCCACATTGATGGATCCATGGGGTCAAAGAGGACTCCCCAAGCATCACCCTCAGGAAATGACCATCCAAGTACGACCGGAACCACTGCAAAGCAGTGCCACCCGCCAACTCAGACAGCTGCTCCAGAAGGATAGCATGGTATCAAAAGCCAGTGAGAGGTAATTAACAGGGACACATTTTCCTTGTCTCTCTCCTCACAGAGGTCATCATATAGGGCGACCAAAAAAGTTTCTGTGCCAAAACCAGGCCTAAACCTTAACTGAAATGGATCTAGAAAATTGGTTTCCTCCAGCAGTGCCTGGATCTGGTTCCCCCCCCCCATGCCCCTCAAAGTATTTTTCCTCAATTCCTGTTATTTTTGATCCTGTTCTTTCACAGTTAACCTTATTCCCCAAACTGTTTCTTTCATCTTCCCTCCTTGCTTCATGTCTTCTTCCTATATAGCAGCTCTCTGCTTTTACTCCCTTCATGTCTATTCCCACTTATTTAATTCTATGTATTTATCTCTTCTAATTTTCTCCAACACCTCTTCTTACCCTTTGCCACTCCCCCCCTTCTGAAGCAGCTGAGGGGAGGGTCCTCCTCCTCCAACCCAGCTTCCCACCATTCAGGGCCACCCCCCATTTCTTCGTCCTCCTGCTGCTTCAGAACCTGCCAATCCAAACCCAATCCCAACAGCACTACAGGGCTCTTGACAATGTCTCACCGTAGTGGGGAAGACTGTGACCAGCTGCTTGCTCCCTCTGCTGTCCACATGCTAGCTAATGGTCAATGGGCAACTTCAAGCCCCCTGCTCTCTGTTCTAACGGCCTCTGTCTTTAAAAAAGGCAGCCTTTCAAAGAAAGAATTGTTCCCTGTATAGTAGGCAGCATTTTGGGGGTGAGGGCTGGCCCAAGACCTTTTGCCTGAAGCAAAGCCCGGGTGCCATCCCTGTGCCATGGCCTACACTTCAGAATATCTTGCTGCCTTAGCTAGATACCAATTCTTGCCTTTATCTATCCCACCTGATGAAGCTGTGTTATTAAAAAGCTGGGTTTTTCTGGGTACCTTAGGTGTCCCACCCTTGTCCAGTCCTATCCTTTTCCCTGCTTGGGGGTTCACTGACCCAGCCCACCCACATGCAGGGTACCAACTTTATTAATGGAAGGTGTGATCACATATTTTCCATGGGTGGGATTCAATTAATAAGCCCTGTCAGTAGAAGCTCACACAAGGATGTCCGCTTGTACAATGGGGATTCCCCCTTCCTTCCCCCTCTGGACTCCCAAATTGGTCCAGCTGGGTCAGATGAACCCCCAGAACAGCATGGAGGGGGAAGAGTGGGGGAATTGTTCTGCATAGTCACCTGAAATGCTTGCCCTGATGCATGCACTGCAAAATTTGATTCCTCTTCATATAACGAGAGAGAGCCAACGAACTGGCAAACTTGTATATGCATTTTATTTTGACTCGAAAAACTTTTTGACAAAGTGTTTTGACATTACAATAAATTGACAGCAAGTTCAGTCTGTTCTATTTTGTAGCAGCAGCAAACATTTGCAATTTGGGTTATAGTGTTTTGTAAACAAGCTATAAGTTGACCAGATTTCTGCATTTATATCTAATCAAAAGGCTCTTTTGCTTTTTTGTATTCATGTCTGAGGAGCAATTCTCATTCACGGAGTGGTTAAACTGCCTGGCTAAGCAAAAAGGTGGCACAATACTAACTACCTACTGTAAAGCTTTTCTGTCAAACCACGGCTGCATCTGTGTTGAAACAGCAATTTTATGCAAATTCTTCTGAGTTTGTAATTGTTCTGATTGAGGTTTGGGAAGAAAAAAAATTGGAGGAAAGGCTTCCCTACATGTTTTAATGTCTTAGAATATCTCCGTTCAGCAAAATAGTTCAGCAGTTCAGGATTCTGATCAACTGTTGATGAAATAATCAAGTGACTGTGTGCGCATTTGAGAAAACAAGGACCTTGGAGTTTTAGGAAGCAGCAAGAGTGCACCTCCTTCAAATACATAGCTTTGAACTTCATAAATGCTGCCTCCCTTGCAATTAATAATGAAGGCTGCAATCCTGCACATACTTATTTTGAGCTAAGTCCCATTGTAGACATTCATAGGATTAAACCATTAATTCTCATAGCTTCCCTTTGAAATGCATGCTTGTTACCATTAGGAAAACAGACATGGTGTGGGATAAGTACTGGAACACATGTGAACTTTTATTTTAGAAAACCATTTTGTTTCAGGCATCACTGAAATTACATAGATGTGACCAGCTCTGTATTTTTACAAAGCTGGTGCTCATTCCTCTTTTCATAGCTATGTAAACCAACAGTTATATTAAGGGGATTTAAATGTATGTGGGGGAGAGAAGAGGAAGCCATCATGGCTAAAGCAATTTAGGGTTCTGGAGTATGTCTTTTACTTTATAACAATTTTTGCTATAGGGATGCCACCAGTGAGTGTCACTGTAGACAATGGGATGACCAAAACAGCAACAAAATCATGTTTCCAAAGTTGATACCAAATGAAGCCAATTTAATCAAAGACAATTACCAACCAAGAGCAGACCTTCTCTTGGAAGAGACCTTTGCATTATCTATACATTTATGTTTGCTAAAAACTGGTTGCAAGATTTTGTTGAATCCATTTACAATGTTATCACTTATTTTGTTAGCATGCAAAATGCACACTGCATAAGAAGCGCTTTATGAAGGGAGTACAAAATCTATAGACTGATTTATCTTGGGGCAAATATACTGCAAAGGGCTGCACACCACTTCTAGCAAAGGGGTGCTAGCTTTGTTTTGGAATTTTGCAAGCAGTGAAATTACAGCAAAAGAAATTCACGTTCTTCCCAGGCATCTAATTTTGTGAGTAAAACAAAACAGGTCAGTACAAGTTTGTTCCCAGAAATGCGTGTTTTTTTAAAAAAAAGAACATGGTTTCTTCCTGTAAGGCTCTTCTGAGAAATCAAAGCCAAAAGCTTTCTAAAGAGCGAGTTGTGTTTTATGGGAAGGAAATAGTTTAATTCAGTTTGAAGAGGAGATGAAGAAATCTCATATCAAAAGCAGTCTTTTAAAGTGAAACAGCTTACAATAGGACATTTCACTAGGGTACAAATGCATTTAAAAGCTACAGTATATTGTGTATTCAGGTAAGTATAGAGTAAATAGGAAATGATGAGATCAGCTTACAGTGAAGCCTTCACATCCTCGCTGCCTTCACAAAGCCCCATTATAGTGGAGGAAATTTGGAGGCTGAATCTGTGCTATTTATTCCTTCTGCAAAAATAACCTTATCAATGAGCGTAGGGAACATTGATATTCAATTTGTCCTGCTATGAAAATATTGTTAATTTATCAGGAGGCGGAAAAGCATCACAATTGGATACCTAGCTGTAAATACCAGTTCTCTTTTTACATTCACAAAACTGGCAGATGAAACATGAAAAGGAATACTGACTCTTTAATCTCCTCTTCTCCACCTAAGGCCCAAGGCAAGCTGACAGGGTAACTTCATTCTGGAAACAGAGTAGTGCTTCTTCCTCTTTTTTTAAAGAAAAATTCTGGATTACTTTTTCTTCTGCTTTTGAAAACTGTGCACTATAGGGGGATATACCTGGCACTGACTTAAAACAAGAACAAGTTTCTCTATCTGAAAAGTTATAGTCCTTGATGCTTACAGGAAGGTCATTTTCAAAACCCATGGGGGAAATAGCATCACAGGCAGAAAGAGTACATTAAGTGCTTTATTTGTTTGAAACAGATACAGTATTTTTAAAATATAATAGCTCCCAGAATCAACAGAGCCTTTGATGTTTATCTTTTCTACAGATTTCATAATTAGTGAGCTAGATGTTTTGAATAGTAGGCAACTGCTAATTGATTTTTTATAATAAAAAAACATGCCCACACAATATTTAGCAAACTTCTGTTATGCTTGATAACTAAATGAATTATGAGCTCAGCATCCAGAGAGACCACCTATGCATCATCTCCTTTCTCCCCCCAAAAAAAAACAGACTGGAGAGATGCGTAGGAAACATACAATAGCTACTGGTCCCTGAATGCAGTTTTATCTACATTACGGGAGCTGTTCATAAATGTGATTGTGGCCTTACTTAGGGATGATATAATCTCGGAAAAGCATTCTCCATCACCATGGAGAGCCAGTATGGTGTAGCGGTTAAGAGTACTGGACTAAGATCTTGGGAGACCAGGGTTCAAATCCTCTCAGGCACGAACCTCACTGGGTGACTTAGGGCCAGTGACTGTTTCTCTGTATAATTTACCTCACAGGGTTGTTGTAAGGTGGCAGGTATAACAATTTATGCTACCTGGAGCTCCTTGAAGGCAAGGTAGGATGTAAATGTAATAATAATGATACTATTATAATAATTTCTGAAATAATGCAAGTTTGGTGCAGGGTAACAACCAAACTTTGTGTGAATGATAACTCCCTACGAAACCTCTGTTGAGCTATCTCTTTTCTTACAAATGGGTTGGCTCCAAAGAACAGCAAGGAGAAGGGAAATAAATGACCACTAGTTAATAATGCACCCGCAAGTGCTTGCACAATGGTAGAATAGATGTCAGGGACTAGCAAAGCTCTGAGGAGTCTGTGACAGAGGCAGGGGGCCAGGGGACTGACCCAGGAGAGGGGGCCAATGATTTATGGTGCCACCCACAAGACAGGAGCCCTGAGGTCCTGCCTGGCTTGTCTTATCTGAGCCTGTTGCCCTGAGGAAGATGAAGGAGGGCCTCAGAGCTGACCAGGAACCTGGGCAGCTGGTGTGAAGAGCTCCAGTCCCAGGGCAAGGATGTCTGGATCCATAGGATAATTGGCAGAGTATTGGGGGCCCTGCTCCCTCTGCACCTTCTCTGGGGAGACTTGGCAGCGCTGAACGCTAACATGAACCCTGGCATTCTGGACAGAGGTGCTGCTGACTGGGAAGGGACAGAACAGTATCAGAGAAATATTTGAGGCTTTGCCAAGTGGACAAAGCCAAAGTGATCACCTCCTCCCCCCCCTTTTTGAGCCACTTGCTCCAGGCATCCTTCCATTTCTTTCCCCCTCAAACCATTCTGCGTAAGCAGACTCCAAAGAGATCAGATGGACTTTAAGTTAAATTGAGCAGAAACCAGGAGACAAGCTTCCCGGAGTTCTCTTAGTTCAATGTAGTGTTCAATGAAGGAGAAGAATTGTGTGGTTGACAATATGCCCTTTTGCTGCAATACATTTTGGTGTTTACATTCAACTATAACTCTTTTCTCAAGCAGTGCTATGCTGAAATCTGTTCTTCAACTTCTCAAAAGTTTTCTTCCCCTGTTTTTCTGCCTTATTCTCAGGTCACTTTTTAATTTCTTTAGCATTTCTGGGGCTGAGGGTTTTTGCGCTTACCTTATCACTGTGAGGTGGTCAAGGGTAGTACGTGTCTGTGTGTGTGTGTGTGTGCGTGTGTGTGTAAGAGAGAGAGAGAGAGAGCATTTCTTTCTAGCAAGCATTTCTCCAGCATTCTGCAGCCTCCCTGGCTGCCAGCACTTCCTGCCACGGAAAGGGCCCTTGAGAGGAGTTACCTCACATTCTCCTCCCTTGGACTTTAATCGATGTGTGGAAATGGAAGAGTACAGAGTGCAGATCACTGGTGAGGTGAATTGTAAGAAAGTAAACACCCCTCAGCCACCTCAAAAAGTGCAAATGCAACAAAAATCCTGGACCCCATCCATAGGAATTACACTAAAATATTCTCCCCCCTTTAACAATTGTCACATGCAATTTCTTTTCTCATTAGTGAAAAGGGTTGGTGTGAAAAGAAAGCGGGAGAAATTTTCAGCACAGCCCTAATTTTAAGCAGCGCCACATCATGTCTGAATAACAAGACTTAGTGTTATTCCTAGTAGGAAGAGGCACCATTTAGGTCCACTTCAGGCAGCAAAAGGTATTGTGCAGGCATGGGTTTTGAGAATCTTTTGTCCACCAATGTGCCATTCTGTGTTGTGTTTTTTTTTATTATTATTTCAACTGCAATAATATCACATTTTGCATCAAAAGGTGCTGCTGACTGGGAAGGGGTGCTGCTGTCTGTCTACGCGGTAGATACTCCGGCTGACCAGTCACCGCAGTTAGCTACTCTTGCCAATGCTTATGCTGCAAGATAAATTCTCTCTCCATTGTTGGTCTGACTTCTAAGTTAGCTCACTCAAAAATCATCTAAACCCAAGACATACCATCACATTAATTTAAAATCAATCTCTTTTGCTTTAGTGATTATCATAAACTTGTACAACAGTGACATTCATTTGTATATTTTAGCATTTCACAGCAGCCACAAAATGCAAAAGGCTGACATTGGAATCAGTTTGATTTCTTTTATGATTGAAGATATTAAGCACTACAAGAGCATTGAAATTTCGATATGATTAGGATCAAAATTCCTCAGGATCAAAACACTCCTTTTTTCCCCCTACAGTTTTACTAATTGTGTGCTACTTGACATTGTAGAGTTATTCCACAGCATGATAGCAAAACTTGTGAAGTGTGTTTTTACTGTCAAGAATTATCGAGTCATTCTATCTTGGCTTTTTTATGTGCTTAAGGTTATTAAAAGAACAAGAAAAATATAATTGATATGTACAAGTTAAAAGGCTTAGTTCATTTGTAGCTGGGAGACTGAACCACTAAGTAATATTAAATGTGTCAATAGAAATCTTCAAATGAATGTACACAAAAGCAGCCATGTACGTATGTGTAACTGGTTTTGGAGAAAACTCTTCTCTCTGAATTGAAGGGCAAGATCGCTTGGCAAAAAGGAAGCAGTGAATAAAATGGTAGTGAAGCAGCCTTTTTTTAAAAAATAAATAAATCTGGATTATTTCAGTTACTGAAAACCGAATAGGAGTATATCAGAGAGAATGCTACCAAACATATTCATCAGAGACCTTTGCTTTATGGGAAATGAACTGCCCTTGCTGGCTGTTCCTAAAGAATTGTGTTTCTTATAGCTGTAAATCAAGTCCTGAAGAAATAGGAGGATGTTCTCCAAGCAATAGCTAAGGGTGACAAGTATCTTTTTGTCAGAGTCAGGTTTATGAATTTAGACCTCAATTAAGATTCCAAAATGGAAAAGAACATATTATATCTGTGGCCATGCAATGCTAGTGACAATGTTCCTACAAGCAATATATCCATTTTTTAAATCCTGGTATATTGTCCTATATTCATCCAGAAGTATATTCATGACATCCTCTGGAGGTCTTGACTCCTCTACATCCTGTCTGGGTTCCCAGCCAGAAAGTACTTGATGTTACTGTTCAGTGAACATCATTAATTTTTTCAATTAATTGAGGAGACATATGCTTCTACATTATGTGACACCCATTCATTCTCCCCTCCGCCCCAGTTGCAAATGGACTTGCTAAATCAGAACAGGGCAACACTGTTGTACTAGAACAGTGCCTCTTAAAGTGCCTTTTTCATATATTAAAGCAATGGGATGTATATTCATTAGCTTTGTCCCTCTTACGGTTATCTGAATGCAGAATACTAATACCTTTATTTTTTAAAAAAACACAAGGCTACAAGGGGATTTATTTGACCGGAATTTAGCATGGAGTTGGTAAAGAGGCCCCCAATTTTAAATAGTTTACTCCAGAGTAGTTCCTCAGCATTAATTCCAGCTATGTTAAATAATTGCAGCCAGGGGGCTCTGCCAGTGGAAAAGCACAGCATTTCCCCTACTCTTCCTTATCAAAGATGAGGGTGGAATGCAAATGCATCCCACCCACCACAGGCCCAAATACTTCTGATGCTGGTTGTATAAAAATGTACCAGCGCAATGTCCTATGTGCTCAGGATCACATTTCAACTGAGTCTCTGATAACTATGCATGCAACACTATGCACAGTGCCCATAAAATGATACATGAAGCAATAGCAAACTCATTAGTAGCATAGCAGCTGAGGTATGAAGGGTCGTATCACTAGTCAGCTTATCTCACAAGCATTCTCAAATAAAGGACCTGTCCATCTTACACGACTGGAAAGCAATGTAAAACCAGTCGCCACAGGAGCTGTACCATGTCCTGCCACCCCAGAAAAGTTTTACCAGAAAGGAATGATCCTTGCATGCTTTGGGGAACCCTTTCTAGGCCTTGTCCACACTTATTAACACTCATAAATCACTGTTCTCAGCAGTCTCCAGACCTCATGGCACCATCTGCCTTTTAAAACTATTCTTTCTTTTCCGCATCCCATTTTGGGCCATAGGATGTTGTGATGGTCGCTAGTATAAATGGCTTTTTAGACAGAATATATAAATTTACGGGGAACAGGTCTATCAACTGTTAGCTACGATAACTAAGGACTAGAGCTGTCAACCAATTAAAAGATTTATACTGACCGAGGTTGCAATCCTACGCGTATTCAGGTGGGGGTAAGTTCTGTCAAATTCAATGGGGTTTACTTCTGAATAGACACATAGGGTTTCACTGCAAACCCTCATTGGCAATCATAAGTGATTGAGGGGAGGGGAGCATTTTACAACAGAACCATTCCCAAGGTAAACCACAAAGAAATGTACAATATGCAAGGAATAGTTCAAGAGCAGTTGTAAGGCCAGTTCATTTTGACATGCCTTGAAGTACTTACAGTCTAAGTGACTGTGCCTGATCCCTTCCACATCTTCAGCATGAATGAAGTGGTAACATCTCTTCCCTACGATATCTACAGGGGTCAGATCCATGTAATCACTAATCCTATGAAGGAAGAAAATAGAGCCTATAAGTTGAGCAATAAGTAAGTCAATAATAATATAAGAACAATGCATCATGTTATATCCACACCCCAAAAACAGCACGTGTGTATCTGCTTGCCAAGACATTCTTGAAATTCCAGTTGCACATTGCCCTACTGTGCTGGCACAGACATTGCTATGTCCCTAGCCCATGCTCTTATCTGCGGACACAGGAAATTCTAAGATTGGTTCCTACAAAATGGGCATCTGAAGAAATGTTTTTCATCACTGCAGGACACTCATGACATTGCTGCTTTCTATGCACAGATGAGGCACAAACTAAGATTGTGATATTTTCCGTTTGTCTCTTTTAAAGGAAAGCTGCAGATACCAGCGAGTTAAATTAAATGCAAAGCAAATCTTTGTTGGGTCCACTCATGTCATACAACAGCCACTAAGATAATATAATTCCTTAAAATACAAAGCTCCTCATTAAAAGAGCAAGATATTTCAAGGTTACATAATAAAATGAGAACATGCTATGCTTATGCTAAATGATTAGAGATACCTTTCATTTCAACAGATTGGTCTTCTATTGGGTATATTCATGGGGGGAAAAAAGGCTCTTCAACTGTTTCCTGGCACAAAGTCCAAAACTGACATTTCAAGCGATATAATTTAAATGCTGAGACATACAGATGCCTGGGGGTGTTCTCTTTTCTAGTCTTATTCAGCTGGGAGCAACGCTTTCACTCCTGGCTCTTTCAACTGGGACTTTGTGGTTTACTCCACACAGAAACTTTAAAATCCTTTCAGTACCTCTTTCTGCTCTATGCTCTGCTCAGCCTCTCTCTGTATGTGTATGTCTCTGTCATTGATTGTCCAGATGTCAATGTCCTCAGGCTTCAGTGGAAGGGAGGGGGGGAAATCCTCAAAATTGAAAATCATGTTGGGTGAATCAGCCTCGTCTGCACAAACATTTGAAATAGGTTCTACACACACACACACACACACACACACACACACACCCTCATTTAGAAGACATAATTCATTTTTATGCTTTAAATTCTGCCACCCACAAATGCCTCTTTTAGAAACATTTAGCCATGAAGATCCCAAGGGTACATTTTGCAGGGCTGCTCCCCTATGGCAGAGGTTTAAGACTAGTTTAGAGCTATCAAAGTACAAACAGGGTTCACACATTTAGAGTGCAGAGATAACCAGCAGAGTGTTACTCCCTATAGTCACTCTGAGAGACAGTAAGAACTAGGTGTGATAAAAATATTGCAGTGAATTAGGGAACTACCTGGCAGGTTCTCACTATCTGGCAAAAATCACTTACTAAAGTAAAAGGTGGTGTGTGTATACACACGACTGCTGCCTACATCATCTGGAAGCAGGAGAAACCACGATACTCTGCTTCCTCTATTCTCCCCCACCAGAGGGGATAACACATACTTTAGTGTAGATTGATGGAGACCAAATTGTCTCCAGTCAATTGTCAGGTTTTGCAGGATGGGAAGGGGTAGAATATAAGTCTCATAAAATTGATGTGGACCAGGAGAAGCTGGACAGCCCCCCCCCAAATCTCATTCATGACAGACTGCAGGTTTAGTATGGCTGGGACAGGAGGTAGGACATTCCTCTCCAAAAGAATATGAGAAGGGCCCGGCTGGATCAGGCCAATGGCCCCTCTAGTTCAGCATCTTTGTTTCACAGCGGCCAACTGATGCCTATGGGAAGCCCAAGAGCAGGAGCAAATGTGGGCAAGCCAGTTACAAGAAGCAAATTGTTTTCTTGAAAACTGCCAAGTTTCAGTGCTCAGCATTCATGTGGTGCTCTTGTAAATGAAAGTCACCAAAACAAGAAACTTAAGAGCAGATACTCCAAAAATTAAGGAAATCATTCCAGCATGACAAAGAAATGGAAGCCAGGACAGACGTTTGTAGATGAAGGGGCAGGGCCACTGTGTACTCAGTGTTAGAGCACGTGTTTTCATGTTGCTAGTCCCTAGTTAAATCAGGTTAACAGGTGATGGAAGCCTGTGACCGAGACCTTGGAGTCTGTGGCCAAGACCTCATTGCCAGTCAGAGCAACAATGCTGGGCTACTAGAGGGGAAAATAACCTGAGCTGGTATATGGTAGCTTTCTATGTCAGTTGGTACCATTGTGTTCCATAGGACCAAATAAATGGCTGTCATCACTAGATACTGTTAGGGTCCAAGTCTGCTCTCTTCAGAACCTGAGGTCATTAGGTAAGGCTAGGTGATTCCTGTGCTTCTAACATACATACATCTATTTCCTTGCCTAGTGACTAATAGTCATCCAATTGTATGAGAGAAAAGTAAGTATGCTGAATGAGGCAACATCATGGTGGGGACAAAAATATTCCCAACCCTGATACTGGGACATGGCCTCCACTGAGACCACAGGAGGGAAGTATTCCTGCAAGGGAAGCTGTAATGCATGGGACTTCTCTCCAACACACCTGCCAAACTGATTGGCATTTTGCTAGTGGGGAAATGAAAGGCACAAACCATTATATTATTGCATTGTTATTAATATTTGGGAAATATTAATTCTGTACTCTAGGGCACTTTAACATGTCACTGTACCAACATGAACAAAATCTGATACGAAACACTGTCAGCTATTCATTACATACAGAGCTCCTGACCATGCAATTTCATTCTACACAAGGCGTACTACTGACTTGTCATCTGGCTTGAGCACAGTATATTGCAATCTCCAAGATTCCTTTCTTTCTTCTGATGTGTGATAGGTGCAGTAGCATGTGCATAAAATTCATTTGCGAATTTTTGTACTATGTCTTTCAAGTCAACATGAAACTCTGATTAGTTGCAGGACTGAAAGAATACAGCTGTGTTCACACAACTACCTAAGTTCATTGACCATGTGTTGCATGAGGAGGGAACAGAATCCTGCTGCAGGCTTTGCCATGACTACAGCTACAGACACATACAAACTGTACATATGCTCAGGAACCCCATAAAAATCAGGAGTCCCCTATTTTGTGGACAAACCTATAGACTTCGTATGCAAAGTTACAGCAACCCATTGAATGCATGTAGATCAGGGACTATGCTGCTGTGATCCTGCTTTTGCCACTCACTGCCAACGGATGAGAACAGGGCTTATCTCTCTGTGCTCCAAATATCTTTACTTGTGTACCTCTACTTACAAAGAAGTAGGGAAAGGTGATGCATACATCACTCTTGTTGAGATTTCTAAACTGTTTATCAGCTCCAGAACTCGTGAATTTCACTACGGAAAAGACCCATGTATCTCACACAGTGGAAGGAGAGAAATAAACCTGGTAGCTTGACATATAAGCCAGCCTTAATCTATTGCCCAAACCGGGGGGAAACATGTTTTTACTTTTTTACCTTCTCGTTTCTACAATTCGTGTATGCTTGCTATTCCTGTACCACCAACTTAACTATCGCCTTTCCCATGGCTTCTTTGCAAACATCCCCACTGTTCAACTGTAGTATTACTTTTTTCCATGACACGATCATGCACAGGTTCCTCCGCTGACCTACTGGGCCTATTCCTTGAAAGTCCAGCCAAGCAACAGAAGGTGCAGCTGTTCTGACTAAAAGTGATACCTCATGTACTTCAGTGTTTTAAAGTAAAGCCCCACTGCAAAGAGAGCTACCTGGTTGATGTTTTGTAATGGATTAAAGACAACTTAAACTGTTTATACTGAACCATAGTTCAGCATTGTATCGCCAGTACCAAAAGTGTCTTGAATGAACGGTTGTTGCGAAAAAAACAGAAAGGATGTACAGCTGCAAACTTTACAAATGGTGTACTACCTCATTGATGAGAAAAACCATCTGAGAATGATCCAATATAGGATATGGCTTGAGAGAAAATTAAGAAAAACTTGAATGACTGCCTGCCCTTGGGAAAATATGCCTATCTGCCTGTGTGTTGTGTGAATAGCTGCTGCAGATGGGGTGGGAAAGGGTAGATTCTGTTATGATTTTACTCAGGCACTCACTGATGTACTCCCAAGGGCCCCAGTATTCCACTGTGCGAACTGCTGATCCAGAGGTTACCACAGTAGTTTGCAGTCAGAAAAGCAACATTTAAATTCTGGCATCCCTCCCTCCGTTAACTCTCTAGGCAACCATCAGTCAATCAATCTCCCACTCAGTTTTCCAAATCTCAAAATGTGGTTCTCCCTCGTCTGATTGAAAGAAGATACTTGGTGGGGGTTTTTTTTCTACATAGCTGTACAGCTGGCATCATTATCCTCACAGGAAATCAGTACCCTCCTCCAGAATGTGTATTGTGGTAGAAGAACAGGGATGTTTAGATGCGCAACACTGGAAAAACAAAACAAAACAAAACCAAAAGCCAAAATGCTGTACCTATTTTCACAGTAAATGATATTGAGGTCCATGTTTACTCGAGTAACAAACATGTGGCAGTCGATTCTGACTTCATTGATCGTAGGAGGGGGCAAAGCATGAGCAACAACTACAAGCCCCATGATTTGGCTAGGGACTGTCCGCCCATGGGACAGCGACACTCTCAGGCGCAACCTTCCTGTTATATGAATCACCTGCAAAACAACAAACAGCAAAAGGAAATCTCAGTAAATGCATGATACAAATGTGAAAGCAATCCTTTTAAAGGACAGCGCTATTATTGTAAAGAGCACTTAACTCTGCCAGAATTGTATTTAGCCACCGCCAGTATTAGTCTTAAGCTTATTAATATTGGCTGTCAACATGTCCTGAATGTCCTCATGCTAGGAAAGAAGAGAAGAAGAAGAACATAATATCCAAATGCTTCACATTTATCAAATCTAATATGCAAGCTGCCTTGGGTTATTGATCTTTTTATCTGTCCGCTTATTTATTTATTTGTTTGCAAAAGAGAGAGAGAGAGAGAGAGAGAGAGAGAGGGAGAACAAACCAGAAGATGAAGGCAAGTAAGAAAAAGATCGGTGCTTGAAGTGATGATGGAAGAAATGGAACGCTGATTTTAAAACATTTGGGGATTAAATTATAAAACATGTATAGCTGCAATTCGGAAAAAATTACAGACCAATAATTAAATAAATTGCCAGCAATATATATCACAGAGATGCTGCTTTGCATTCTTAAATATCTTTGTGCATTTCTGACAGGATACATGAGTCAGCAACAGATCAGCCTGTTCGACAATCAACACCTTGCTGGGGCAACCCAGGTACTGTGCAAGAAATAGAAATATCTGGTACATGAATAAGAGTCATTCATTGCCGTTTCATTCTCTTTGTTTACTGGAGGGAATTTGTTGTTTGATGCAACTGATTTAGAATTTCTGGTTTTTTATAAGTCAGCTCCATTGCAAGCATGGCCAATGGCTAGGGGTGATGGGAGCTGTAGTTCAACCACATCCGAAGAGCTGAAGGCTCTCCACACCTGCCTTAGGTGAACAAAAACATGACACAGCTGACACAAGCCCTGCCTAATGGCCTTTATTTAAACTGTTGGACTCCCATGCCCTGACTTGCTAGTTTCCACTGGGTTCTGCTCCCTGCCCCAGTCCAGGTGTCAGCATTTTTCAGCTGGAAACCCTTTTTGTCTATGATTTACAACTCTCAAAATCTACACTGTTTTGAAGTGAGAGAGGAAAATAGCCACATCATTTCTAATTCAGCTTCCCCTTGAATGTATGGAAGGACTTAAGCTGTGTCCTGTTTGCATAGGCATAAGAAACTAGCCAGTTTACCTTGTTAAATTGTAAGGAATCATCTGTATTTAAAATACCTCTTTCATCCTCAGAAAACACCTTTGCATTTAACTGGAGAGACTGTGTTTCTCTCTCCCCCCCCCCTCTCTCTGAGGAAGAGTTTAATCTTTGTGGTTCATCCAATCAAGGACCTTTATGATGAGATGATAACACGGAAGCTGTCAGTGACAACTACAATAGGGATTTTTCAGAAGATGGACACTTCCTCCACTGATAATTTTACCAAGGCACAGCAAGAGCCAAGAGAAGTTAGTTACTACTAATCTGTGCAGGTTATTAATGTTGACTAGGAGCTGGAAAGCTCCATTTTCCATTAGCAAGTTCTTAAGCGATCAACTACACAGAGTGTCAAAAATAATTCAAGCAATGAGGACCAGATATAAACTACTATTTTTCTACAATTCTCCATTTTAAAAACTGCCTGAAAATTGTGAGCTATATATGTACTGATGACTATCTAGATGTTGTGGGTTTATGACACCCAGCAACTGAGGTAATTATTGCCTAAATTCATATATAGTGTACCTTCAGAAGACGAAGTTCTGTGTGAATATTTTAAGATATTTCTAGAGGCAAGGATGTAAGAATACCATTTTAAAAACCCATTTTGGTGAGACCTCATTAACTAATGAAGAAATAGCTAAAAGAAATAGGATTTAACTTCACAGGAGGGACATTAATAGTATACTTTGCTCCTTCAAGCTAGGCTTACTTATATGCTTATTTATCATTATCTGTCTTATTTGATCATAATTCAGCTTTCTTGGGGGGAAATACAAATCTGTAAATGCTTGGAAATATACTGCTTTTTAATAGTTAACTAGAAATAACATGATAAATAATCTTGTAGTAAACACAAGATGCAAACTATTGTTATATGAAGAGTTACTATGTGTTTGAAGTTGGCGTTAACACCAAGGGCAAAACACTAAGATATGCCATATTTAAAGCCTACTTATCTTCTGCATATATGCTCGAAACAGTGTTTTGTAACGTATTGCTTAATATCAAACAGATTTGATTTTGAACAAGTGCTTATTTATTCAGTGTCGAAAGCCCTCCTCTAGCAGATTCCACAAGAAAGAAATCTAGTGCGTAATCCAGCATGTCTCAACCCCAAGGGCCTCGGTGGAACTAAATTACACCAATGAGTCCTTTGATTCCATTGAGTTCTGTTGGAGTCATTGTATCATAGGGCAAAACTGGATGTGACATGGGAGATCCATTACTGCATCTCCCAATATATTTTTTCTTTTTAGTAAAAGCTGCCACAAATTGTTCTTGTCTTTTCTGACTCTCTCCAGCTAATAGCAGATTGAGGGGGATTTCCAAAGCTAGACATGGTTAAGCCCTCCCTACTTAGTGCCCCACCTGGGGGCAATATGTCCCCTCCTCCCTGGCTGCTTTTAACCACAGGGAAGGACATTAGGAAGGTTGACTGTCAGTCTCCAAAGCATGTCTAGTTTAGCTTTAGCTTCCTCAGAATTGCACCCCAAACCTGATGTAATACACACATTGCCAAGCCAATTCCATTAAATTTCACTACAAGTGGAAACAGTTTAAAACAGAATCCAAATAATGTAGTGCTTTCTTTGTAGGTTCTGATTTGAGGACCACTCAGATCCACATTCAGCTGGAGCTGCTTACACTTGAGATGGTCTTTGACTCTAATGTCAGTTCTTTCATACTAAATAAACTAGATCTTATTCCAGTCTCTTAAATTTGTTTCCATCACAGTTATATCCATATCATCTGTCTTCCACCCTGCCTGGTCTTTTTCAGTGGTGTCTGAATTAGATTTTGCTGCACAGTATCGGATCAGAAACTTCAAAGAGGAATGGCAAACTTGAACTGCATGTTACCTGATTGTCCTAAGATAGAAAGAGGCAATGGAAACATAACCACACTGCACAGTCTGCAACCAGTTCTGTTGATTCCACAATGCAAGATCCATGGCCTATTTCCCAGATTGGTTCTTCAGTCAACCAACACTGTGCCTTCCCTGGTAGCCAACCAAAGACGGAGTGCTCTGTTTATTGTGCAGTTGCTAGCAAATTTTCCCCAGTAAGTAGCCTGCCCTTTGGGTGGGGAAACGGGAGGGGGGGCCACTAACTTTATGAGAAGGACCATAGCTTGGGGAAAAGCTTTGGTTCAATGGCAGAGAAGGTCCCAGATTCAATTCCTGGCATCTCCAGTAATATTGAGAGACCGCAACCTGAAAACCTGGAGAGTTGCTACCAATCAGTGTAGACAATACTGAGCAAGATGGACCAATGAACTGACTCAATATAAGGCAGCTTCCCATGTGCCCATAGCTCAGTGATAGAGTACATGCTTTCATGCAGAAGGGTCCAAGCTCAATCCCTGGAATCTCCAGTTAAAGGGATGTCAGGAGGTGACAGGAACTAGCTCTGTCTGGATCCCTGGACAGCGGCTGTCTGTCAGAGCTGCAATACTGGGCTAGATACATAAATGTTCTGATCTGGCAACTTCACCGCTTCAGACTCTGAAGATTGAAAGGCAATGCTGAACATATCTAGGAGATTTTATTTTATTGATCAGAGTGCTAAATCAAATCTATATATATATGCATGCAGATGTATGGTAACTATACAGATGACGGAACATCTGCATAATGTCACGCAGAACTAAAATGTATATTACACATTTTGTGCTGAAATACTTCATTCCCTGGTTAGAAAGAAATTTCAATTATCTTCACCTGGTGCTAACATATTGAGGAAACTGTAGTTTATTTTATTTTGTCTGATGAGAAACTGAATGAGAAAGATGTTGAATGTGGATGTAAACACAGTTTATGATGTATGTGGGGATCCTAGCAAGCACCATTTCTTGGACAAATATACATCTTTTCCCCTGCCATATGCTCTGTCTTAATCTGTTGGTGACAAGTAGCTCATACTCCCCAACTTCTCACAGAGGAAAATAGGGACACTTGGGTACTCAGAATCCTCCTATTTGTACACCAAGCATCACTACCCTATGTACACATCCTGGTCCACATTGCTCTTCTCTGCCTGCAGTTCATTTACTTTGAAATTGTCTGTCCTGAGGCCCTAGACTTCCCTTATACATGCAGATACCAGAGCAATAGATAATTTTTCTCAGTGAACATGAATTTAACAGCATGCCCCCTAGATACAATATCCAGAGGCTTCTAGAAGGGTCGAAACTTGAAGAATTCTAATACAAGCAACTATCTAAAAGACTGCTTCCTTCGTATCTTGGCAGACGAGATGTCTTCATGGTTCCAAGTGGAATTATTTACAAATCAAGTTGTTTTATATATTCCCCATCCACCAGGAATGGGGAACTGGATCCAGCCGGCAGGCCTGCTCCTGAATTTCCCCACCATCTGTGGGCCAAGCTGGACAGGCCGGTGAGGCCACCCACAGTGACATCAGGGGACCTGATTTTGCCCACATGGGTAATGGCACAGCTTTCAAAGCACAAATGATCAGCTGATTGCCAGGGTGTGAGGCACTGTGCATGGGGTTTTGCAAACACTAATAATCAGCTTATATGCCTATAGGGTAGTGTTCTTTGATTAGTAGTAGTAGTAGTAGTAGTAGTAGTAGTAGCAGCAGCAGCATTTATCACACTTAATTGTAGTATTTATCCCACATGTATTACAACCTATGTCTACAGAGTTCCTGGAACCATGCATGTGGCTATCCTATGTCATCTTCACAATAACCCTGTAAGGTAGGCTAGCTTATGAGAGATGCTTAGGCTACATGACTTGCCCAAGCCTAGCTGAATGCTTTTTTCTTTTCTTTTATGGTGGAGAAGGAGGTGGGATT